GCAGGGAGTCTGCTTCTCCCTCTGACCCTCCCCCCTCTCCTGCTCTCTCTCTCTCATTCTCTCTCTCTCAAATAAATAAATAAAATCTTAAAAAAAAACAAAAAACCATGAAAAATGGTTTAAAAAAAAAAAAAAAAAGAAATTCATACCTGGAAGTGTTAGATGGCTTATGTTAGTGTTAGATGGGTTATGTTAGATAGGTTACTTGGCAACAGGATAGAAAATAGTCTGAAGGGTTCTTAACCTTTATGAGCCTCAGTTGTTTTTTCTGCTGAATGAGCTAATAATAATACCTGTCCAACTATTTATAAGGTTTTATGGAGATTAAAGAAATAATGTATATAAAAGGATTTGAAAACTTTATAGCCCTAAAAAGATTATTGTTGTCATTAATAATTAATTTCTCCTAAAGCTAACTTAGAATAATTTGAGTGAGATATTTTAAGGGAAGCCAAAATAAGAGAATTTCTCTATAAAAATCTGACAAGAAATGTTGGTTTCTTGGTTTAACTAGGAAATATTGATAGTTAATTCCAGGACACCCACATGTAAGAAATGCTCCTGAGATTGTTGAGATAAGTAGGCCTAGACTAAATATTTTTAGAATAGCTTCTTTGGAGTCTAAGACACATGATTATTTCTGAATAGGTTCAGGTGTGTTATCTAGTGTAAGAAAAACATGGACACACCCATTAACATTAGAAAGACAAAAAAGCCTGGGGTGCCTGGCTGGTTCAGTCAGAAGAGCATGTGACTCTTGATCTCAGGGTCATGAGTTTGAGCCCCACATTGGGTGTAGAGGTTACTAAAAAAAAATTAAATAAACTTAAAAAAATAAAATAAAAAGACAAAAGTCTGTGGGGTGTGGAAAAATTGGAACCTTCATTCATTGCTGGTAGGATCGTAACATAGTGTGGCTACTTTAGAGAACAGTTTGGTAGTTTGTCATAAAGTTAAACATCACCTTATGACCCAGCAATTTCACTTCTAAATATATACTTAAGAAAAATTAGAGCCTGTGTTCATATAAAAAAACTTGTACACAAGTGTCCGTGGAGTATTATTCATAATAGCTAAAAAGGGCAAGCAACCAGCAGCTGATGAATGACTAAATGAAATGTGCCGCATCCATACAATGGAATGTTATTTTGTCATAAAAAAGGAATGAATTACTGATACATACTTCAGCATGGATTGGATGAACCTGAAAAACATTTTGCTAAGTGAAAGTCACGAAAGACCTTGTATTGTGTGATTCCATTTATATGATATGTCCAGAATAAGCAAATCCACAGAGATCGAAAGCAGATTGGTGGTTACCAGAGGCTACTAGCAGGAGAGGAGAAGGGGGATGACTACCAGTGGCTTTGGGTTTCTTTTTGGGGTGATAAGAACATTCTAAAATTAGATAGTGGTGTTGGTTGTACCACTTTGAATATACTAAAATACCACGGAATTGTATACTTTAAAACAAACAAAACACAACAAAAAGAAAGAACTTAGGCCAGCCTCTCTGCTTACACAGAAACAGAGGTTAGTATCTGATATCAGTCTATGCAAGTTCCTCAGAGATAATAATTATTTGAGTATTTCAGGTACTTATACCACAGTGCCTAAACATATCAAACACTTAAATCTTTCTTTTAAAAGAATGAGTATTAGGCAAACCATAAGAAACTCTAGGAAACAAACTGAGGGTTGCTGGAAGGGAGGTGGGTGGGGTATGAGGTAACTGGGTGATGGGCATTAAGGAGGGCATGTGATGTAATGAGCACTGGGTGTTATATGCAGCGGATGAATAACTGAACTCTACATCTGAAATTAATGATATGTTAACTAATCAAAGTAATTGTTAACTAATTGAATTTAAATAAAATAAGTTAAAAAAATAAAAGAATGAATATTATGATACCAAAAGGAAGAATCTTGTGTCTAAATTATTGCAGGAATGTAAGGCTGAAATAAAGAAGGTGGGAAATAAAAACTATTAGAAATTATAAGAGGTAGCCAGTTCCAAAATAAACATTCAGAGATTAATATGTTTTTATATATTTGCAATAACCCATGAAATGCAATAAAAATATTAAGAGCAGTATAAAATATAAAACACCTAAGAATGAACTTGGTAAGAAATGTACAAGAGCCTATGTGGGAAAAAATTGACAAAATACTGCCAGCGGACATCAAAGAAAACTTGAAGATATACCATATTCATAGATGGGAGGATTTAATATTGTAAAGATATTCTCCCCCAAACTGATCTAACAGATTTTATGTAACCCCATGTAAATCCAACAGCATTTTGGTGGGGAGAAGAATTAACTAAATTATTATAATGTACATGTAGAGGGGGAAAATGTCCAAAACAAGTCCAACAATATTTGGAAGAGAGGAATTATAATGGGGATTTATTGTACCAAAGTATAAAGTACATTATAAAACTCTAATATTGGCACAGGAATAGCACACAGATCATAGAGTAAAATAACAACAAAAACAACAAAATGCTAACATTTATTGAGCAGTTACTCTGTGCTTTGTGGGTCTTTAAATACCATACAACTCTATGACAGTAGCTACTGGCATCTCCATTTCACAGATAAGAAGAAAACTGAAATTCAGAGAGGTTTAGTAACTTGCTCTGGGTTATGAAGTACATGGCAGGAATTCAAACCAATGATGATTTCAGATTTAGTGTTATTAGCGATGTTTAATTCTAGGAATTTAAGCTTCAATAAACAAGGCTATGTAAAAATATTTAGTAAGAATGTTATTCACAGCATTGTTAACAAGTGCCAGAAATAAGAATTAATCTAAATATCAAGCAAGAGTATTGGTTAGATGAAGTATAGTACATTTACACAAATAAAGACTGTATGTGGTCATTTAAAATTATGTTGAAGAATATTTAATGACCCAGAAATGAGGATAATGATATGAAACAGAAAAGTGGATTACAAAACAATATATATAAAATGTGATCCCTGGGCGCCTGGGTGGCTCAGTTGGTTAAGCGACTGCCTTCGGCTCAGGTCATGATCCTGGAGTCCCTGGATCGAGTTCCGCATCGGGCTCTCTGCTCGGCAGGGAGCCTGCTTCTCCCTCTGACCCTCCCCCCTCTCATGTGCTCT